TTACAAACAAATATTTCCTTTTCTTCTTAGTAGAGCTTCGTACGAGATAAAAATTCTTACGTCGAATTTCAAAGACTTTCTCAAATATTTTCTCACCTTCTCCGAGCTGAACGAGTCGCTCTGCAGCTTCATGGTGGACGCCGCCATATTGTTGCTCTCCTGATGCGACAGGTCGCCAGCTTTTAAGCTTCTCTGTTCCTGCGACACGAATGGAACCATAAAATTGCATAAAAACCATCTTTCCATTGTATTTTCAAATTATATTTTCAAATAACAATTCCAGAATCACTCTACGCGTTATTATTTCCAATCTTATTCCCAGAATCGAAAACAAAGAAGAAGAAGAGATACAAATATTTTAACAGATAAAATAAAATTCAAATTTACATATATATATATATATATTTCCAGAACATCGTTGTTTAAAAATACTTCCGAGAAATCTGAAGCTCGATATAAACTCAGGCTTCAGCGCGCGGTTCATGATGTGTGAAATACTGCACGAAGAAGAACGAGCCTTCGATATTGAAAGCGATACGAAAATAAATTCCAAACGAGAATCGTGAATATGAAATTTTATGAATATCTCACAGCAGTATAGAACCTGAATGAATTTCACAGAATTGAGACGAAGAATTGTGATTTTTCCGAGGTTCGCAGAGAAGAGATGATATCGAAAGACATTTTTGCAGAGAATTAGCACGCTATCGAAGGTCTGATTACGTCGAGTTGGCTAATAGCGACGCTAATTTATCGATAGTATGCCACAATCATGCTACTGTGCCTTCGAATATTTCTCTGATCTCGTTTCTACGTATAGATCGTACCTTCGAGTAATAATTATAATCGCGTTAAGTTTCGTTCGATCTTAATTGCACTTTAAAGGACTCAATTTTTAATTGGTTATTTATTTTTAATATTTAGGTTCGATTTTATTGAAGAAAAATTACAAGGGAATGTGAAGATAAAAAGAGATTTTTAACAGGGTAAGAATGTGTAAGTAATGAGTGGGAATATTTAATTAGTGGGAGATACAAACGTCTTGCAGAGATTGCTCCTTTGATCTCAATTCCAGCCCAGATATTTCAACGACACTTGCCATCTTCGAGCATATTTTCACTGGGGAACAGCGATACACTAAGTTCACCATACAATGGGCCAATTTTTCATTTAAAATTCTATCATAGTCACTTTTAAATCATTTAATCACATTTTCACGAGAAATAGAGTCACCGAAAAAATTCTTTCCTTAATTAAACACTAACTGGATGAAAGCAGATTGTCTTGAGAAGTTTCGCTTAATAAAACACCAATGCAATAAACACTAATTTTTAAAAAACAGAATGTCCATGGAAACGTTCACATTGGCGGAGTTTCCCATCCGAGAAATTTCGCTTCAAAAAACACCAATGCAATAAACACTAATTTTCAAAAAACAGAATATCCATGGAAACAACGTTCACATTGGAGGAGTTTCTCACTCCAGAAATTTCACTCGATAAAACACAAAACAGACTATCCAGAGGAACATTCACACCAGAGAAGTTTCTCGCTGAGAAAGTCTCACGTGTACCGGAAGTGACACGGTACCCCACAGGTGTCCCGAACGAAGACACGAGAGTGTTTTGTCAGAAAGCACGAGGTGACAAGGTTTCGCGACACAGTTCCATAACAGTCTGGCCTGTCGAAAGCTCATCGGCCGCGGCTCGACCTCTCAGCGCGCCTCGCTTCAGCTTCTGACGTCCGATTCTCTAAATATAATCCGAGCGTGTCGTCACACGCGTCCACTGTGTTCCGTTTGCTGCTCCCTGCCACCTTGCACGCCTCCCCACGTGCCGCTGTTACCGCCTCTTATCACACTCTACCACCCGGACTTTAGAGCACTGATATTCCATGGAGAAATGCCAATTATTGCGTCGTCTTCGTCTCTCTCCGTCGTTATGAAATTTCGCTGGATAACGATTAGGTATACGCGCAACAGGATGGGCGTACGAGAATTGTATAATTGAAATTTTGTAACAGTTTTAGAATTGCGTCTTAACCCTTTTGCTGTTTGTTTCGACGTCAGTCTGACTCAACGACGCTATTTCTCGTTCGACGTCGATGTGTATAGAGGAGTCGGAGGAGGAAAATTTGGCGAGGTTCGGAGTTAACCCACGGGACTACTAGCGCCGCTACCGGCGACACGTGTAATTAGAGAGGGGAATTTTTCAATGTGAAATTCAAGATTTATTTCTGTTTGTATTTTATTAGTGCAATAAAGAAAAATTGATAAAAGAAACGAAAATAAATTTTTTTTATGAATGATCGAGTTATGTTAACTTAGGAGTGCTATTCTTTGGACACTGAACGTGTTAACGATATTAGTTTAATAAGTAAAATTTATTCTGTACGTCGTTACAAATCGTCGCTTATAAAGAAGCCACTGTAGTGACGTTTCCTCACGAAGCGTCGTTTACTACGAAGCCATAATAACGCACAGTACCTAAAGGGTTAAGATTGAAACTTGAAACGATGAATCAAACGATTTCAACTAACTATTACCGAAAGAAATTTTGCATAAATGCCAAAAAACCGACCAGAATCCTTCTAAAAAATGACGTAACTGAAAACCAGGCTAAAATATCATCTCACGAATGTCAAACCACAGAATCGTGTCTTTTTTTTACAATTCAAAAGAAATGTCGTCAGTCAGAGAATAATATCGTACGTTTGTTCGAACAATTCTCTCCTATTTCGTCTCGTCTTTTGGGTTCCTTTTTTCATCATCGAAGCTAATTCAATGCGTCATTTTCTGATTTGCAGAGACGTCGATTTTTCTCTCGTTCTTAGAATAGCTCGAACGGGGAAACAAATTTGACAAACATAAATCGCTATCCAGATATTTCTATGATCGTTTACGTAAGCGACACGCGCTCCCTTCAAGCCGATGGAAATAAATTCGACCCGATGTTACCAACGATCCATCGATCACTGTGGAATTAACAGGTTGATCGTGGAATGAAATGCTGTCGAAATTAAATTGCCGGTTTAACGAGGATTTATGAGAATTTGGTTTCACGTTGATTTAATGAGCACGATGATGGAAGACAGATGAATTTACGAAATGAACGAAAACAGTTTCATTTCTTCGTTTGTTTTTTTTTTTTTCGGAGATTTTCGAGAAATTGAAGGTTTGTTTTTAGATTGTTGTGAGAGAAAATTTCTGTGAGGATAATTAGATTGTTTTTTTAATTATTGAGAAGGAAAAACGGGAAGAATGTATGAATTATATGGAAGAATTTTGATACGTTACAAGGAAAGAATTCACGCATGCCGTGAGATGGAGACGTTTATTTACTCGGGGATACCACGGGAGTTCCCCCTGAAATGAGGCAATAAATCACGATCATCCTATGAATATCGATCGAACACCTGAGTTTCTTTTTCAACGATCGTGTAAAATAAGTGAAGGAATGTGATTATTTAGCGCGTTGCTGAGAAGTGTCTTAATTTAGCGTTGACCTAATTTTCGAAAAGATCTATCTCGAATTTTTTTACATTTTCAATTTTGAACTATTCTCTGAAATCTTCAATGTTCGCTATTTATATTTCCCTAAATTCCCAATTTTCGCCAATTTTCTCATCCACATTTTCAAAATAATTCTACTCCTAATTAAGACACGAGCACAAGAATTACAACACTGATTCCACCACGAGGAAATGAGAAAATATATTTTGCAAAGATCGATTTTCTCAAATCTAAAATTTTCACTATTTACATTTCTCTAAGTTCCCAATTTTCATCTCTCATTCCCTCATATTTCCAATGTCCGCCAATTCTCTGCAATCCACAAATTCAAAACAATTCTCCTCCCAACAAAAACACTTGCACAAAAGATCACAAAATCGACAAAAATCCGCTACGAAAGAAAGTATCAAAATATACCTGTTGATCAGGATCACCCGAATCTACCAAGGATTCCTCCATGCTCATCACCACTTACCACGTGCGGCCGATCGAACACTTTCCGCTGTATCACGCCGCGATGCACTGGCCACGGTGCGCTCATCTCGCCGCAAACGCATATCACTCGCGATAACAATTCTCTCTTTCTCCCACCCTCTCTGTCAACCCACAGAGGCTACGACGATACACGCACGATTCAATCTTTCCAATCGTTTCGAATCCCAACTCGTCACTTCGATAACAGAAATCCCACGAAATCGCGTTTACCCGGTAATTAAACGACGTTCGAACGAATTAAAAAAAAAAAAAAACAGAAGAAAATGAGATAGAGATTGTTACATTGTACAGAAACGGAAAGATCGATGGTTGAACGTCGCGACGCGCACCGAACAACGAGATATCCACAAGTGGCGCACGAATTTTAATTCGTCTCTGATGGCACCGGTTGCCCCACGTGACGAGCAACGGATCTTCAGTCGTGTTTCTATTTTTCCGCGACTAGAAATAGCGGTCACATCATTCGCACGTCGGTGCAACGATTCTGTCTCGTAAACTTTTCGATACCTTGCCACTGGCCAATATTGCGCAATTTCGCGCGTCGGACGCTTCCTTGGTGGAAAGAATGGTCGGTTTTGAGACAGTGTAGCCAAATGGGCGTCTCGTTTCGTGGATTTCTGTGATTTAGGAGAGAACGGTGAATATCTCGATTATCTAACGTTTCCGGGAATTTTGTGACATTGTTTTTGAAGGTTTGAAAATTTCTTGGAACTTTATTTTAGGGGGAAAAGTGTGATTAAAGATCGACCGAAAATTTGGGAAATTTTTTACCTTTTTTATAGAATATAAAAACTTTTTTCCAAGGAAACCTTATTTTCCAAGGTGAAAAGTAATTTAAGTTTAATTTGTAACATTTTTGGATACTGTAAAATAAATTTATATTCGTATCTCTTCGCAGAATCCAAAGTGCCATTTTTAATTCTTAATTTTCCGAAATGAAGAAACGCGGTCCAAGTTTAATCCGAGTTCAAACCTCCTCCTTTTCCTATGAAGTTTCTCAAAATATCTCGAGCAGAACGAATAATTCAAAGTCATCCAAGCATGACCATCGAATTTCGTCATCGACAACATGGCGGAAGACAACGGAACACTTTGTTGCCAGTGATCGTTCTCGCGTGCCAATAACAACGTTCGCTCCTTTTGTTAACAACAGAGTCTCATTAGCGTGTCACCATCCCGACAGATGCACCTA